TGCTTGCAAGTCGCACGAAAACAAAAACAAAAAACAAAAGAGGGTTCGACGGAGCTGCACCACTATTTATTGCGGGGAGGGGGATTGGTGCGCCCGCCAGCAATCTACGCATCGGAACGAAAGCATTTCGGCCGAAGCCGAGCGTATGCATTTCTATCGCGTACTCGCACTTCACTTGTGTCATCGGTGTAGGAGTAATAAAGAGATATATTCGTTGTTGTTTTTGATTTTAATGCTGCCGGACATCATTGTCTTCTAATATTCAGGTATGGGGTCAAGAATATCTTCTCATAATCATATCATCACTTACAATTCTTTACAAAAAAGGACAACATACAGCCGCTCAAAAGGACACACCAATAAATTTAATTAAGCTTGATGCGAGGATATAGGAAAGAAGAATAGCCCATGTAGGAGAGATATCTCAACTGTTTAGCACACATTTGGTCTAAGGAACGGCTTCACTTGTCTCTTTGACGAGTTGTAGTGTAATGCTAAGTGGCAAGACTCACTGCGAAACGCCTGAGAATGTTCCACATCCACAGTCCGACTTTGGAAATTAACATGCATACAGTGGACTCCAGACTAGGAGCGTTCCTCTAAATCTTCCTACCAATATGACCAAGTTGCGAAAACAAGGTTAGACAACTTATATACAACGAAAGAAAACTGCGACCACACAAGAGGCCATACCATCTTGGTCTACATATCCTCAAATACCATTTAGCTCTCATTCTAGATTTGCACAAAATTATATTAAAAAAGAATTGTGTAACTATTTCCCGTGGCCGTAATTATATTTGATAGTTTAAACCACGGACCTTCAGTCACGAAGTCTATCAAACGTTGGAAATCTTAATTTCACTATAGCATGAGAAGAGTGGTGTTTGAGTAATTTTAAATTCCTTTGATTACATTACATTAATTAACGTGGCTAATATACCATTAATGATTCTTCAATATACCTGAGCTCTGCTTCGCCTGTCTTTAGCCCGCTTCGACTTCTCCCGACTTAGAAAAGCTCTGCTATGTAATAGACTTTGCTTAGAAGCATCTGTTTGCTCCGAATCAGCTGAGGGTAGGCTGGCAGCTGCAATAAATGAAAGACGACTGCGCTGTCTCATTTCACGCGCCAAAAGACGACTTGCTCTGATTAGGTATACTTGATAAGCAGGCAATCGTGGCCGATCAGGAGCTTGGGCAATAGGCACATTACTATCATCGCAGTTACTATTATCGTTATGTTCATCATAATTGATGCATTTCTTGAAATTATTTTTAGGTAACCTCTGCGTCTGAATATCCAAATGATCTGTGCTTTCGGTTCCAGTGGCAGAACATTTTTTAAATGAAGAGAACCATGATGCAAGAATGGGGGCCGATGGCCTCGGCAGACATAGAAGAAGGCCCGTAGTGAGTTTTAAAGATAAGCAACGCTAGTAATTAAAAATGAATAACAAAGAAAACATAACAATTTACATTAGTGTAAGTCGATTAACGTAGTTAAATGAAAATGGGAAACTACAATGCATCATATTATTAGTAAGAATTGAATTGAAAAACATATAGAATGATTGACATTTGGATCAATTTTTTTACATTCAACAAGAAATATGTTAAAGATTTAACCTTTTTGCTAATTATATTTCTAATTGATAACGGTATTATAATGCGAAAACGTATGAGCAATATATAGCGTACCAAATAAAATTAATGAACTCTACTGGTAAAAAAGAAACTGAATCATTTGATATTAACACCTTTCATTTGATTTACAAAGGCGGGTGGAAGGAATTCGTAAATTGGCCTCATCCGATACCGAAGTAGAGTTGTATTGGATTTTTATGCTATATGGGTGAAGAATACCTGGGAGCATTGGCCTGCCACCCCTATGAATCCGTGATGAGCTTTGCTTCATCAGAGACAAAACCATTATTTACAAACAATAATCAAAGAATCCAAGACCAAGAAAGAATTTAGGCTGAAATTCTGTGTTCTTCTTACACCTCACTTTGAGATCTTATAAGGCATCCCATAATTTGGTTGGCTACTTCTTGTTTGCCTTATATGCATGCAGATGAGTCAGGTTGATCAAGGGGAGGGAATGTGGTCACAGATTTTCCCTAAGCAAATAAACTAATAAATGATCCTGTGATATTGAGGCTTATTTTAGTTACGTGGATGTTTGTGCGTTGTGTCTATGCCATAAACATGAATTAACTAGCTATTTCGGGATCCAAATCAGATTCCAGGTTAGTCAAGTCTTCTCGTACTCGGTGATTTATTGCCCCTCGGCTTCCTCTTCATCTCTCTCACTATTTCTATCTAGTAGGTAAGGACAGTTATTGTTAAAATTCCTACATCCGCTCCTCTTACCTCAAATGTTATTTAATTTGCTTGTCTCCGTCGACTCCCTGATCTTCCGCTTAGCTGTGGAGTCCCGACATCCGGCAAAACGTCGTGTCTAAGGCCTATCTGATGTCCTGCAATGATCATATAACCACCCACCCCTGATTTCTAAATCCATTAGCCTTTGCAGGTGGTCGACAAGTCCGCACTGCATAGACACCACCACATAACAACATGATCTGCAATGGAAGTACAAAGATTCCCTAAAATAAGGCATGCCATAGCAAAGCATTATTACTCCTTTAAGCATGGTCGTGATAGTCCATTTCCTTGTAAGACGGTAGCATTTGGAACTTGACGATCAGCTTCTAATCCCCTAAATAATAGTTTCCTCATGTGTTATTTCTTATATTATAAAATTATTGTCAATTGTTCCCAACTCAGATTTCCTTTAGCCTTTATAACTAGTGAACATCCGTTAGACGAAAACTAAAATTTATTT